CCCAATCCTAACCCTGACCCTAACCTTATCCCTAATCCCAAACCTAATCCTTAACTTTAACCCTTAACCCTAACCCTAGATCTAATCCTCTGATTAACTAACCGACAGAATCAGGCTAATTGCAGTGAAGATCTTGCTCTCTCGGATTGTTATATCCTTATCTTGACAAAACCCAATATCTCTATCATTGTTATCAATAAAAAAACAGTTAGTTACCCCATAGCAAGTGAAAAAAATATTGTGGAGCAAAATTACCCAGGTTAAAAAAATTGTACCTAGTGAAAAATAAAATTTACCTCAGAAAAAAAATTACCTGCAACATATACATACATTGGCATCATCCATGCGGTATCTGCAGTTTGATGCAGACATGAATCTGAAAAGCCCTCAGTGGAAACAAAATTTTATGTGACTAAACAATGTACATATACCCTTTGCCTCTTCCCATGTCTAGAGTAGTACATTATAGTTTAGCACTATGTAAATTCCACACTGATATCTCTATAATGAGGCTGAAAATAAAATGCTAATAGGCGCATGGAGTCAGTCAGATAAATTGTCAATCATCATGAAGTCATCCTATTTATATTATGCAATTCATCATGTTTTTGTTTTTTGACATTTTGGTTGATAAGTTTGCCTGTGAAAGTTCTTACAGTCCACAGAATTATTCTAAACTGTGAATGTTTTAGAAAGTTGTTAATTAATGACATTTTGCTTCCTTATTGCAGAGATGCCACTGCCATTGATTCAGATATGTAAAGTTATCCTGAGGAAACAACTCGCTTGTCACTGGGATTCTATACAGGAACTTCCTATACCATTGACATTAAAAAGTTTTCTTATAAACGAATGCTAACTCTTGAACCATTATGTATCAAGGCTGTGCTCTAAGGAAAATTAAATGGGGCCCAGCGCTTTGAAACTGTGAAATCCAGGGTGCCCAGCATATGCTTTGTATGAGAAAACTAAAATTCCTGATTTACCCAAGAGCACAAGTAAGGCACCAGGGGCCACTGGGCCCTGATAGACCACAGCCTTGCATTATTTACAGATAATTACTAGCTTGACACAGGGGTGTTGTAAATAACATTTATTATTAAATTAGGTATAGACAGGGAGTTCCTTCAAGGAAAAAAAAAGACTGAAAAATGATAGCAACTTTTATTTTATTTCTTTAGGAAGTAATTTTATTTCATGCAGTGCTGGGGGGGGCGTGCTTCTTGAAGGTCCCTGTAGCTTGACAGGATAGTAAAGCTGTTCTGTTTTCATTCAAGATGGGGTTTCCAAAAGTTTTGAAAATTATGCTATGCAAACTATCAGCTCAATGGACTGTTTAGGGTGCCAGAACCTGCTTCTCCATGCTTTAAAGTTTGATTTTTAGATAGACTTTGGGCCTGCTAAGTTATTGAAATTTTTGAGAAAAGGTTCCCAGGACCACTAATATTACCATGAAAAAAAAGTTTTTGTTAAAAAGTCTTAAATAGAAAAGTAATGGTCTGTAATGATGCTGCAATTTTGAAATTGAGGCCACCATTGCTGTCAGACCATTAATTCCGTCATACAAAATAATCCAATACTCCATATTTTCCTTTTGTCACTGTAGGTGTGAGACATGTTGAGAATGATTTTGTTTACACTTTGAATAGACAACTGCCAAGTGACAGTGAATATTCAAAACTAAGCAAAAGAGGACAAAAGTATCAGTACCTTGGAGTGTCTTATTTTGAAATTTCAGGGTTAAAATTTTAAAAAGGCATCTAAAGACATAGGCCATTTCCTAATTACCTTTGCCCAAGAATGCATGTTTATGTAAACTTTTTATCATATAAATAGATAAGCACCAGGACTCTGTTTGAAAAAGAGACTAAATGTAATTTGGAAATGGGCAATTGTTTTGAGGGGTTGATTGGGAGTATCAAGATAAAATTGGGGGATTTCAAAGAAATATTACCACCAGTGGTAGACGACTAAGATAAATTTGTAGGATTTTAAAACAAATAATCATGGGATCATAGAGATACTGACATTTAGTATATACTTAAACAGTGAATAGCTTTGAAGGTGAGCTCTGGTTGGCTACTCACCTCTGAGCAAGGGATTTGGGCCCAAAAATATTGTTATCATTGCAGGATTAATGAGTTAAAATCATCTTTTCATGCTATATAATTTCATAATTTTAGTATATAACACAACTGTTCACCTCAGTGTTTGGGGCTTGTGGAGAACATTTACCTCATCACTTTGTTGATAAAAATCCACCAGTAGCCAACTCCACTTCAGTGAAAAGAAGTTAATTACTGTCAATAGCCATGGAACACTTTTTAAGTTTGAGTAGAAATAAATAGATGCCACAATGCAGTGGTCACTGACAAGGTTGGATGAAATATTCAACATGACATCAGCAAGTATTTTTGGTCACCACACTAATTTAAAACCAGCCTCCAATAATTTATCTTTTTATTCAATGTTTTAAATACCATCCAAGATGTTTTTGATAAATGTAATAATGTAAAGGAGAAATTCCAGGTTTGGTGCACTCTCACCAGCGATAAATTTTTTTAAGAAAACCCTAGTCTTGTCCAGAGTATAATTTTGCAAGTCTTTTAAATTTCTCTGCTTCTTGGGGATTCTTCTCCACCCCATCACCCAAAGCATACATTCGACTGACATTGATACATCCCCATGGGTGTGACATCTCACAGCTTTTTAAGGATAGTTCAAAAGCTTTTTTCATGTCTTTTGGGATTCCATCTTTTCCAGTGAGATAAATTGCACTCAAATTGAAGCAACCGTTCCTATGTCCATAGTTACAGGCCTTGGTAAAAAGTTCTATAGCCTTTGGCAAATCCTTTTCTATTGTCGATCCTTTTACTCCTTTTTGATACAGGAGTCCTGCATTATTGCAAGCTCCTGGAGATTTCTTCTCACAACCTTCTTGGAATAAGCTCATTGCTTTCTCAGGATCTTTGAATTCTTGAATAAACACACAGAGAGTAAAAAAATCATCAGTTAGTAGAAGTACACACACTATGTAAATATTTTCTTTGATTTCAATTTGCTATTGAAGAAATTGACTGCAACAAAAAATTTTCTCTTCACTCCAAAGTTTGACTTGACAAAATAAAGGTCTTGAAGTTAAGGGTGCATCTTACAACCAAGTGGATCTCAAACAAAATTAATATCATAACGGCAAATAAATTATTGTTCTAAAAAGAAAAAACTAATGCTTTCTCATCCTTTGGCAAATATCAACTTGATTGTACAAGTATAGTTACATCAAAAAATCTTCCAGAGGCTACTCACAATAGTGCTCTAGATGCAAATCTCAAGAAATATAGAACCACTTACTTTTGTTGGTCAGATAGAGGTTTCCTAAAGCCAGGCAACTTTCATTAAAATTAAGCTCTTTACAGGTGTGTTCATAGAGTTCCTTTGCTTTATCTATATCCATTTCAATTGAAGCATAAAATTCTGCAAGTATGTGGCAAGCTACAATGGAGAGACAAGAGGAGACTTTGAAAAACTTTAAAATATAAATAAAAGTGCATCAAGTGTGAAATCACATTGACAGGTGCCAACACAGGGACAGGAGATTGTATACCAAACTAGTAGTTACCATGTAATAAACTGAACCTTGAGATGTGTTAAAAGAAGAAAATTAAAAGTGTGGGGGGGGGGCATTGGACTTCTGTTAGGCATAAAAACTGAGCCAATTCAAAATGGGTATCTATAGACAGGATCATTTCATTGACAAAAATAAATGTAACAAAAAAAAAAAAAAAAAACCCATACTGCCTGTCAAAAGTATAGTAGAAAATACAATTTAAGATAAATTCCTTTCAACAATTCCGCCATCCAAATATTCGTTTTTCCGAAATTATACAAAGATAACCGGCTAGATTGTCGAACATCTGCTAATATGCGAGTTATACTGCAGCTCCCGTAGTCCCACAGTCACCCTCGATAACGCACATAGCCCGTGGACAGTTTTACGCATGTCATGAGGAGTTACATGATTGAACTGAAACATTAGGTAATCCTTGTAGTGCTGACCAAACAACTTACACTCTTTCTTTTTGGAACCGTAACACTCATGCTTGTAGAGATCGCGCAGTTGTTGACCATACTCTTCAGTAGCTTTGGCTACTTTGTCCTCTGGAGAGAGACCAAAAGGCATCTTTTCACCACTCTCTTTGCACCAGATTACAATTTCGTGAAAATTTTCCAGGCGTCTCCCTCGTTATTCGTGGAATTTTGCGCATACATTCTTCAAACTATCCACTGACTCAGATGCCACTGACTCACTTGATCGAGAGCTGAGGCTGTCAACGATCGTGACGTCACGGAGTGGTGGACTGATCTCCCAAACGAAGTCTGGCGACCTGAAGTATGTTTCCAGATTTCCATCCTGCTGAAAAAATGGGGTGAAAATCATCGCCTTGTCTGTCTATTGAAGACTTGAATCTAGTATTCTGACCATGGATTCTGGCTGGGCTCAGTACCGAGTAATTTATTCGTATCAGCCTCGTGATGAACGAGACATAGCTATTAGAGAGGGTGATATTATGGTGGTCGCAAAGCCTGTGTCCGACCCAACTGGCTGGCTTACCGGAGAAAACACGCGCACTAAAGACGTTGGCGAGTTCCCTGGAACGTATGTGGAATATATCGGCGATGTTAAGGAACTTCCTCAGGAGGAGAAACCTCCAACACCACCTCCAAGGCCACCAAGGCCTGCACGACGGAACGCGGGAGGAAATAACAGTGCGCGCACTGATGCAAACGGTTAGTTGGGAACTTGTTTGTGTATTTATTTCAACAGTGTTTGACTATTTCGTTTTCATTATAGAAGCTTAAGGGATAGTAGTTATTTAGCACCACTCGATAAGAAATCGATGCCTTTTGTAGTCATGAATTGTATTTTATTAGCTGCACGATAACGTTTAGGCATCATTGCAGTTCTTAGCTTCCTTACAAACTGATCTTTTTCGCGGATATCTACAGGATGTATTCGGGTTTTTGTTATTATTTTGGCTTTCCCTATTTATACTAACGTTGCATCTATTGTGGTGAACATATCGGTTCGTAATGTCAAATGGTGGAAGATTATTTACGTGTATATATATATCATAAAACTTACAATCAACTGTTTGTTTATTTATGATGATTCATTTGTCGATTTCCTTGTTTTGAGCAGAAAGAATGCATGCTCTAAAATATACAAATACCCGAAGCTGGTAGTTCCCTGAAATTTTTTGCAAGGAGTAGTCACTAGAAGTCAACTTATCACTAGTTTAAAATGCATCCCTGAGCCACTCTGTAGCCCTTTATCTATTTTTTTACGGCCTCTTGCTTCTCATTAACATGGTTTTTCCATAATTTACAAAAAATTTTTCAACAAACCATTTTTTGTGCCTTACAGATCAAACAGGTGGCCATACACTGACTGAGACATCTGCTATGAAACCTGTGTGGTGTTGCCAATGTGAGTAGCATGCAACGTGAAGTCCAATCCACAATGAAAAAATTATCAATTTGTCAGTGTAATAAATTCCAAGGGGACTTTCTCAGAGCTTGATCGTTAATCTCCTGTGGGAAACTGTAACTAAGTGTGAATGTAATTCATGAACAGTTTATTTGTAAACGACAATATTACATTTACTCTTGGCAACATTGGTCTTTATCTAGTCAATTAATTTCATTTTTATTCACCTCTGAATGTTTTCTATTGTACTCATGTAATACATTTATTTAAAATTTTGGGTTTGTGTTTGAAAATGTGCAGCTATTTGCATAGTACTTCAGTCCTTATTTGATTAAATTGACTAAGGGAAAACTGAAAGGGTTGGCTATTTACACAAGATCTAACCCAAACTGTGGTTTTACTCAAACACTGGGCCTTACATATTCTCTACAAGGGGTTGTTTACATTAAATAGTGGTCCTCCAACTGCAAGTTTTTGGCCCTCTTGACACTGTTCACAAAAATATATGTTCAGATAAAAGTTCAGCTAAATTTAAGATTATTTAGAATGCGGTTTTGTTAAACAATGGCTAAACTTTGTCAAAAAAATCAGCCAAAGTAAGTTCCAGTTTGCTTCCTGACTTCTGATGATTTTTAAATTAATTTTTGTAACTGTTTTAATTTGTAGGTGAAGACTTCATCTGGGGAGTTGGAAGTGAATTGTACAGATGTGCAAGTGTGTAATAGTTATTATGATCAGATAAAATATTTGATATTTATTTATTATAATTTATTACAATTTAATGCAATTAACAAAATAAAATACTGTAACCTAATTAAGAAAGGAGAAATACTGTAAGGTTGATCTGTAAAGGAGTCATAGACCCCATATACAGAACAATCACTTTACTAAATTAATGTGATATACTGTTAGGAATAATAGACCAATAGTTATATAAAAGAAAGTCTCAACAATAATTGTCAAAAAAAGATTAAACTATGTAACTCTGAATTTTTTATAATTAGACCAATTCAGTTGGTATTCTTGAAAAAGTTCCTCACACCTGGCTCTTAACAAATAAAGAAACCCCAGCTGTACTCTGTTCTGTTGTAAAGCAAGCAGTAAGCAGCCACAGCACAAAATAAGTGTAGAGAGAAACACAGGACATAGTTGAGTGTTTTTCCCCACCTCTTGAGTGCTCTAGCTGCTACCCAAGTACTTTATAACAGAACAGAACTCAGTCAAGGCTTTTTTATTTGTTCCATAAAAGAGAATCTGTCATATTTGGGTAACTTTCTATTTTCGGAAAAAATTATTAGTTTTGATGCACACAAAATTGTTGTCAGCATATTTTATACTTTCGCAAAACATGCTGAAATAAGCAAGCAGAATCCTTGTTAGAAGGGTTCAATTAATCTGATTGGTTGAATAAGATCAAAGCTGTCAAAAATGTCAGACCATAAAAGTTCATAAAACATCAAATTTTGCAATCTGCAATAGTTACCAAACTGAAACAGTTTGGAAAGTCAAATTTGACACTTTTGCTTGTAGATTTGTAGTCTTAATACAGATTGTGAAAGTGAAATGTTCAGAGAAATCTAGCTTAATTGTGGCTGATAAAACCATGCAAGTTTTTTCACATAACAATTAGAAAACAGATTCTCCAGGTGGTGTTTTATCAATGAACAACAGCCAAATTCATGGAAACAAGAAGTTTGCTTGGGGTGACAGTACTTCAAAACTCTGCTGCTGTGATTGACATGGCCTTCCACCCAATGTATTGAAAAGGATATTAGAGCAAGCTCCTAGTTGTTCACTTAAAGGGCGAATGTTATTTCCAAGGCTTGCTCAACTGTGTTGATTGCAATGGACCACATGGTTGCAGTCGCTCTGACAACATCATGATTTATACAAATTTTAACATTTATGCCAGTTTGGTTATACTTTTCATCATTCCTGTTTTTGAACAAGAAACTATATAAACAATACAAGTGTAAGAGTTTTATTACCATATGTAAACCTATGATCTTACTGAGTACAAGAACCCTCAAAACTCGGACAAACTATTTTGTTTTAATTATGGTGATTTTTGTCTCTGCTCACATTATAATAATGTCATATAAAACAGGCTGTTTCAACCAATGACAAAGCAAGTTATATCCAAACTTTATTATAATTGCATTTAGAAGCGATTATTCATGACAACAATACAATTTAAAAGACTAAACATAAAAGGATTTATTTGAGCATAGTTCTTTATTGTAAGTTTCTCTCTCTCTCTTTGTTTCAGTGGGCACAAAGTAGTATGGCTGTATAAGTTAGCAGTCAAAGAAATATCCAAATTGATATAACCATTCAAAACTATCATTAATGTACCAATTATCTGTTTTTACAGTGTGTGATTTAGCTTGGCATCCTCAATGTGCAGTGGAATTGTCTAAGTTTCCCTGTAAGATTCTCAAAAAAGAATCAGAAGAACCAGATGAAGATTATATCAGATTTGTTGCTGTAAGTACATTCTGAATGAAAGCTTTTATAATATGCTGCTCTTTGCTGAGGATTTGCAAATCAGTTATGTACAACAGTTTGGTCACAGTCTCAGAATGGCCCAAAGATCCTTTTGAATCAGACAAATATATTAAGTATGAGTTGCATTTCGTGTGAATACAACAAAGTATGATTTGAAAGAAAGGGGAGAGGGACAAGTAAAAGAATCAAAGGAAATCAACATTACCTCAAAACTCAGCAGTTTCAGAATAATTGTGATGAAATAAAGTAGGACATTTCTTTTTGCAACCAAATTAAGTTATTGATGCCTTCAAGGGATTAGAATCAAGCGACTATGGGTAGGGATGCACTTTCATGTGGATTAACTGCTGGATGAAAATTGATTGGGTAGCAAGTAAGTCAATACAGGCAATCAACTTCTAATAATGAAGATCTCTTAGAGATTAGGTAAAACAATTAGATATTCATTTATGTAATGATAATTTCAACACACATGTGCAATAATGGCATCATTTGATTTGATACCAAATACATGTACCTAATGGTGACCACTATTTCTGAAACAAAGCTTATATTTCAAAACTTTTATTGTTGATTTATGTTTAGTAAATTGCACAGTGTTACATGCATGTATGTCAGTGATCATAGGTTCTTCCGAGGGAAAAAAGGCCTGAAACCAGTTCGCTTAACAATTCAATGTGGCAGAATTATCTCTTTCTTTCTTATGATGTAATTGAAACTCCGCATAAGAATTAGACATTCTGTGCATTTAATTGAATATTTTGTCCATTAGAACTGTGTTCTTCAGTTACAAAGTGAACTGTTTCAAGTTTTATAAGTTGTTTTCTTTATATTCATTCTCGGTATGCTGCAGTATGGCAAGCCAATTGTAGCAATATTCAATAAATGGATTTTTTAATTCAAAGAGTCTAGTTTAGTTCAATTCAACGTGTAAATTTATGTTCAGCATACTATTTTTTGGGTTCAATGTCCCATTTTGCATTCAATACACTTTGTTATCTTTCAGTGCGATTGCTTCAGTTCAACCTCTTTTTTTATTTCAATTGAGCATATTATGTTCAACACTTTTTATTTTGTTCAATGCAATTTATTTTCGTTCAATTATTTACTGCACAGCGGTTGACCGAAAGAACTCTAGCTTCCCCAGTGTTCACTTCTTGCTTGCCTTCCTAGCCCACCATTTTGAAGAAAACAATGAGTAGTTGTCAGGACAAAATAATGGATCGCTCATCTCTTTTGAAGTTGTCGTCTTGGCTTGGAGAAGCTTCAGAGCTTGTGAAAGAGATTTTAGACGAAGAGACTGCTAGCTCTGAGACATCCCGGCCTGAAACTTCAAGTTCTTGTGGGAACCGAGTGTTTTCAGCGTTGCAAAGAGCGAGGTCCATGTTAAACTCATCACAATCAAGGTGTTAAATGGGGTTGACAGGGTTCAGCCAAGGTTCTAAGCAAGCTAATTGTTTAATCGACAACTGTCTGCGTTTGCAAACTATCTAGCAGTCTCCTCCAAGTAAAAACTGTTCTGCTTTGTCCAGAACTGTATGAAGAAATGTTGATAGGTCCCTGTCAGCATTAAATTTGATTGTAAAGACATTACGATCGATCACGAAGCAAAAAATTAAAATGGCTTCTCAAAAAGTATTCCAGCTTTTTGTGACCTGCCGAGATCAAAAGGGACTGGGCAATAATGGTCAACCGCTGTGCAGTAAATAACTGGATGAAAATAAATTGCATTGAACGAAATAAAAAGTGTTGAAAGTAATATGTGCAATTGAAATAAAAAGAGGTTGAACCGAAGCAATCGCATTGAATGATACCAAAGTGTATTGAATGCAAAATGGGACATTGAACCCAAAAAATAGTATGCTGAACATAAATTTATGCATTGAATGGAACTAAACTAGACTCTTTGAATTGAAAAATCCATTTATTGAATATTGCTACAATTGGCTTGCCATACTGCAGTAAACTTAATTGACTTTTCAATTTAAAGTTTTTAATTAAAAATGTTGCTATGAAAACTTATTCACCAAAAAGGAAAATAGGAAGCATAATGCAGTAGCACAATCACTTCCACTTATTTCAGAGTCCAGATGAATGGGATATGAATGATGTTTTGGTGTGGCTTGCTGCAACCAACCATTTCCTCTATGCTGAGATTTTCAGAGAACACGAAATCACAGGAATTCAACTGCGGGACTTGACAACCACCTCATTAGACCAGATTAATATTACAGATAGCTTTCATAAGCAATCTATCCTGCTAGCTATCCAAGAATTGTTCACCGGAGAGTCAGAGACTGTGAGTGTTAGCTGTACAATTGTACATTACATTGTGCAATTGTATATTACAATGTACAAGTGTAATATTCAGTACTTATACCTCACCAGTGATCTGTGCCTATTGCATGCTCATTAGTTAACTAGGAGTCATTTCACTGATTACCATTTACCTGAGCTCTTTGTGGCCCATTACGGGCAAACTGCCTTGTGGTTACTTTGAGATGAAACTGTTTTTGAAAGGAGGAGGGTGTCATTAAAAAAAAAAATTCGAATTGGGGAGAGAGTTTGGTTGACTTTGACCGTATGAAAATCATGTACATGAATTGCAGGTTAATAATGAATTAATGTGAGAATGATCTTTGCAGTAATGAACACCACTTATTAAGTAGTAATGAAAATAGAGCCTGAAAAATATTCAGGCCTGCATGGGAGTTGAAGCCATGAACAGGTGTTACCGGTGCACTGCTCTACCAACTGAGCTTAGAAGTCAACTGGGAGTTGGTCATTTTGTTGGTTTGTAAGAAATTCATCAAGTGTTGAATAAATGACTGGCAGTGAATATAGTATAAGAAAACCATATAATTTTATGTGAACTGTGGACTAACAAAAGACTATGAGGGTGATCTTCACAGGGATGAACACTATATGTAGGGTGTATAATGGTGTAAAACAATGTTGATAAGTAATGATAAATCATCTCTTTACAATCAAGGTAATGTTGACATGGTTATTGTGACTACACTATCATGTTAGTAGTCTGACAATGTATTCTCTTTATTACAAACAGAGAACATCAGAAGTATTTAGTGGTTTTCAGTCAGCCCAAAGAGGTCAGTTTGATGCTATGTTAAGTATGACATTCATATTTAGTTAAAGGAACTTTAAGTTGAATGTGGCCAGTAATCTTGGATTGCCCTGGTTTTGCTGTGCTTCACTCTGATTGCTAGAGGAAAGTCTTGCAACACTCTTTCTGTCTATCAGGTGCAGGAGTCCATTCATTTTTGTTTTATTAGCAAAATTATTACATTTGGAAAGTTGAATTTTTCAAGTGAGGAGAATAAAAGATATTAACCTTTTAACTTTCAAGATCTGATTGCTAATTCTCCCCTCTAGCTGCTACACACTTCCTTGTAAAGTGGTAATGAGAATTTGGTGTTAAATCAGGGTAACAACTACCTGATAAGTTTGAATACTCTCATTACCTGTTTGCTGGGTAAGGTATGGAGAAGATAGGGAGAATTTTTATTTTGATCACTTCTGGGAGTTTATTGGTTAAATTCACTGAGCTTAATATCAGGAATGAGATTTGACTTGACAGATATTTGGAAATTCTTGATTTGCTGTTTGGTCCAAAAATCTGAAGAAAAAGTCAAATTAAACATTTTGTTTTTGGGCATTCAATATTGCTGACTTGAATGATATTTTGCTCCTATTTCTTGTTAGTTATCTGCTGTCATTGTAACTTATTAGTCAGATGGAGACTGATTGTGCTAGAGTGTTTATTTTATTGATAGGTACAAAGGGTAGTCATCTCCCCAAAGAACAGAACTTCACGTCTCTGCAGTGGTGTGACAAGTGTGGCAAGTGTCTGTGGGGATTGTTCAGACAGGGAGTTTTGTGTTCAGAGTGTGGCTTTCAATGTCACAAGAAGTGTATGTTTGACAGTGTTGTGGTATGTCCAAGGAGAAGGGTTAGAATACGAAGAGAAAGTGACGCTGATGGTAAGATATGGATGCCTTTGCTTATCAATTTATTTGGAGGAGTCACTAAGGACTATTATAAACCGCAAAACTGTAGAAAAAATCATCAAAATTGTAAAACCACAAAAAAATTTCGTCAAAACTAAAAACTGCTTGCAAAACTGTCTAAACCAACAATAAAATTTTTTGCATCCCAGTTATCAAAACCTGAAGTGATCCAACACATTGGTAACAAGTGGAGCATACAGAGGTTTCACAGTTATTTGAGATTAGTGGAGAAGCATAATTGCCTCCCTTGTTTGAGCCAAGAGGTCCAACGCTTTTTTGAAAAATTAAGGGTGTATATATCTTATTTAATCAGTTATGTCAGAGACTAGTTAAAAATATACACTTATTTAACTTCTTATTAATTGCATTTGAGTTTACTAATTTTTTGTTTCCTAATTCTAAATTTTTCAATTTTGTTACTTTTTAGTTCCTGTGTTTGGAGCAGAGCTGGGTGCACAGTTTCAACCAACTGATAGACCAGCACCAATGGTTGTCACAAAATGTGTTCAGGCCATAGAAAAAGGAAATACAATAAGGACAGTTGGTATCTACAGCATTGTGCCATCAGGAAGTGAAAAGAATGCTCTTAAGACTGCTTTAAATCAAAGTGAGACTATGTAAAATCTTAAGTTATTCTCTTACCGCAGTATAAGAGTTCATTGTTTTCCCCTTTCACTCCCAAAATCTCTTTTATTAGCAATTCTCCTTACAGCCTGCCACACAATTCATATGATGTTAGTTTTGAGAATTTGGTGTTGGATCAACTACTAATCCCTTATAGTCATAATTCTCATCATCTGACTACGGTACTTGATATTGTAAGGAGAAATTCTGTCTTAGTCACTTATGGGAGTGAAAGGGTGCATCGATCATCTTATTGGATGATTAGAGTTTGTCATTTTTGGACTGTTTTTTGTCAAGTTAAATTGTTTTTATTCATGTTGGTTTGTGCTGCTCTGTGTGATGGTAAAACGGGGGTGTTCAACTTATGCTGATTGTAGGACAGAGAAAAAGTATGATAATGGACTTGTTCCTGTAATAATCCTAACTTATCAGCATGAATTTGTGTGCCACAGGTGCCAAAAATGTGAACATGGATGATGAAGAATGGAGGAATCCTCATTGTGTTGCCACAGTTCTTAAAATGTATCTAAATGAGCTTCCAACATGTGTGTTCACTGAGGACAAGTATCTATCATTTGTTAAAATCTTTAGAGGTAAGTAATTGTCAAGGATGTACTTGTAGTTACTCTTAAAGTACGTAGAAAACTACTAAATGCAGTTACAAACTGAAGACTCTAAATGGCATCTACTTATGACCTTAATATGATCCCAAGCAGGATTAAAAGACCTTATTCCTGAAAGTGTAGAATAAATTGTTGAGGTCACACGCAAGGTTTTTTTAAGTTTGCTCTGTCAGCTTGAGGCTAAATCCAACAAAAAGTTAATGGAAGAACAAACAATTTTCAACCCCCTCAACAAGATCTGTACACAAGTATTTTAAGACATAAAGTGACTTTTTTTAAGTTTAGTGTACCAGTGATTGCATGGTACGTACTTTGGTCTGTTTTCTTTTTCAAGATGAGAATCAAGATGCCTATGGTAAACTGCTTATGGACTTAATTGAGAGTCTTCCTCCAGAAAACAAATCCCTCCTCATGTACTTGTTGAGACATCTTTACAGGTAAGAAGGCTGCATAACTTACCAACTCTTCTCAAGAGCCAACTGCCCCACTCTTCCTGTGCTTATCCCTGTTTCTGTAGCAGAAAGCATCCAGGAATATTTCAAGTTAGCATTTATCTTCCCCTTCATGCCTAGATAATGGTGTCTGAGTCCATCTTAAGTTACAATTCAGTTATAAAATTGGTATTCAACATAAGACTTAGCAATTATTCTGTTTCCCAAAACACTCTTCTTTTGTGCTGTAAAGTTCTTGTATTTAGGTTTATTTACCCAATATGAAGAGCTACTCATTTTGTAATTAGATAAACAGAACTTAAGTTGATATGTACTAGCTGAACACACATGTAATGAGTAATAACTATTGGATGAGAGTGAGCATGATATTTTGCTAAAACCAAACTCAATTATTGTTTTATTATACTTTTTTTAAACAATCTTTTAAAGAAAACACCTCTCAAGGTTTCCAAATGTTTGAGAATGCTACATGAGCAAGGGGCTGGGTAACCAGGCAGACTTTGAACTTGATGCAGTTAATGCAATATTCCCTGAAAATATTCCATTTATCATGTCAAGTCCACAGGCTTTTTGTATATTTTTGTACATGTATGTATTTGATTAACTGCTCTCAACCAATCAGATGTGATATAGTAAGTCTAATGTATAATAATAATGATTATCAGAGCAGATTTAATAGTTACGCAAATGAACTATTTCTCCTTTTAGGGTCAGCCAAAGTGTAGAGTGGAATGACATGTCATCAAGAAAGCTTTCCTCACTATTTGCTCCTATTTTGTTAAGGCCAAACCAACAGCATATTATGTAAGTTGTATGGATTATGATTGTGTTAGTAAGAGCTAACACTCAGAAATTTTATAACATCTTTTTAACCTCATGGTTTTTTTTGGAGTGTTTGGCAAGACAAATCTTTATGAGAAGACTACATCACTCTGCTCAGAAGGTTTGGGCATTTACCCTGCTACTGATCAGATTGTCTACTTTTGAAACAAATAACCAATTGGCAAACCCCATCAATTTAAGCCTGACAAGCAGCTTGTGTGTTTTTGAGTACTTGGCTGGTGGGAAAAAATAAAAAAGATAGAAACAAGGGAACAACTCTGAGAGATAACGGTAATGTAATCATTGTTGAAATTTGCTGAAACACCTTACTAAACCCTGACTTGCATAAGCTCACAAAAAGAGCTTTTAAAAGGAAAATTCATAAGTTGCTTTGGACTATACTTGGGATTGAGGACTACTATGTTGACGCCCATTCACTAATATTGAAATTCAATTCAAATGATTATCGAATATTATAACTATAGTACTTTGCTCACAGATCCGTATATCACAATTCTCTCCTCTCTACTTTCCAGTCTGCTCTGCCTGTATTTGATTATTAATTGTCTTGTTTTTAACTCACTAATAATTTTATTGTATTTAATTTGTATGACAACTGTACATATCTTTTAGCTTATAATGTAGTAAACTAATGCACGGCTTATAACCCCAGTAATATTGTAGTAATGAAATCTCTTTAGCTTTCAATGTGTAGTTTTTACTTATTTATTACTAATACCTGCCAAGACTAGCTAATGCTATATGCAGGTTGTGTATATTTGCTTTTAATTTGCTATGAAATAATAAAAAACAGTCAAGTCAAGTCACAATACTGCAATATTCCTTGTAAATGTTGCCGAATATGCTGGAGGAGACTCGCACTGCTCTGAACAAAATGTTTATATGGGTCTATGATGGTAGAATCTGATACAAATGACAGACCATACTGTCTGTGTAGTTTTAGAAGAGATTTGCATATGATATTTTCATAAAATTGTAATACATTTATAATAAAGGGCTTTTATAACATCAATGTTGGTTCCACAGGGCAATGGTTGCAAACCATGATGCAGCAGTAGGGATTATTGACTTCCTAATAAGTAATGGAGAATGGACAAAGGAAAATACACCTCCAGGTAGATGAAAATCATTATTATTGGCATTTCATTTTTCTAATATTTTAAATCATCAAATAAACCCCCTCACCTTGAATAAGGGGTCCCTTCAAGTTAAAACCTGTCCTAACTAAAGTTAGCACCCCCTCCCTAGAGGATGAGTGTGGCTCAGCTCTTCCCTTTCCCTGTCTCCATGTATAGTGCCAAACCAACAAAAGCTTTATAGTAATAGTGTTGTATCACATTTGTTTTGGTTTCCCATTTTTTTTAGTCTGTAATCATTTGGAAATTTGGAAATTGAAAAGTTAATGATTACTAGAGCTAACTATTTCGCTATTATTATTATTATTATTATTATTATTATTATTATTATTATTATTATTATTACCAGTTTTGGATTCACCTCCTGGTCCTCGTCATCGGTGACAAAAAATTATCATGATACTTTATGCAGGGGTTTCATTAAGGGCCAGGCACCGGGCAAATTGACCGGTTGTGCGGACGGCTTTGCCCACCTGATTTGACAGTCTGGAGGAAAGTTTATCTTATAAAGAAGTTCAGTTCAACGAGTTTTGCCCGCCTGTGAAAACCAGTTGCCCCCCTGCAGAAAACATTAATGAAGCCCCTGTTTATGTCATCAATATTGTGTTTTTTTTTTGTTTTTTTTCATATCTTTTTGTTTTTTTTACGTATGTTTTTAGTGCCACCCAGACCACCCAGACCACCGTCGCTAACCACCCCTCACAGTTCAGATGAAAAACTTCAAGACTGTCCCTGGTACTGGGGACACACGGACAGGTAAGCTTTTCATTTCCCTTCGGTGATGTTGACGTTGTGGTAAGTATCGGTCTACAAACTGACTCTGTTGTATTTCCTTAAATCCAGGGAAACTGTCAGTGAAAGGTTAAAAGACCAAGAAGATGGAACATTTATCGTCCGTGACTCGCGGCGGGCTCCAGGAGAATACACCTTGACGCTCAGGTAGATTTCGTGCATTATGCCGATTGAAACTATTGTCCAATCCCACTGTAGTATTAATTCCAAAGAGACTCTTTCAACTTACACCTTGACGCTCAGGTAGATTTCGTGCATTATGCCGATTGAAACTATTGTCCAATCCCACTGTAGTATTAATTCCAAAGAGACTCATTCAACTTACTTTGTAATATTTTTGTTCTGTTGTTGTGGTATTTTGTTTGATTACGTTGTCGTTTCTACCGTGCTTTTCTTAATGAACTGTTCAACCCCTCAGAGTGACCGGCTTCTAATTTCGCCTTACAGTATCTGCCTTAAATCAAATGTCAAGGTGCTGAGAATAAACAAATTGATGACCAATTAAACAAGCTCGTGATTATCAAACAAATTCTCCTTGTCAGTATCAAAGGAAATGTAAAGAGAAAAGTGTGGAGAAAATGAATGCTGATATTGTGGTGTTAAAGGTTAAGATCTCGTATCTCTTAACTTACGGACAGATGTAAACCAACTTGCTTTTTTTTTATTTAGGAAAGGAGGAATGAACAAACTGATTCGTATCTTGTATAAAGATGGTTGTTATGGCTTTTCTGAGCCGCTTACATTTTCTTCTGTGGTTGATCTCATCAACTATTACAAGACAAGATCATTGGCTTCATACAATCCGAAACTTGATGTCAGACTCGAAACGCCTCTCCAGAAATACGAGCAGGTACATGAAACTGAGGACAAACTCTGGTTAATTGAATGTTCTTCTACCCTTTTTGAAGATATGTTCTCTACGTATGCAAAGCACCAATGGAGAAACCGCGTTTAGTGAAAATCAGTCATAGTCCTTGTTCTCAGTCTAAAGGATTTCTTCTTGTAAATTAATCATTTAGAAATTTCTGTGACTATCCATTGCAGCCATTTGCTCGACATTCTATTGATAATACATTTCATTGAAGTGTGTCATTTGCGGAGAAGCAAGGGTGTCTCGTTTCAAAACGCACACTATACTGTTCCAGCAAGTTGTCAATGTTTACGAGTTATTTCTTTGTGGAGTTTAATCTTTAATCGAGATACTCCTAAAACAGTAATAACTATACTAGGAGGACTCTAGAAACATCAACAGATTCCAACTTAACCTGCTTTTCTATTCAACAATTTACATACGATAGTTTTACTGACATTTTCTTAATTGTTTCGCGAATTTCATGCTTGCAAGCCGGCGCTTATACATCACCATCTTGTTCGCTGTGGAACACTATGGCGCACAAAGCAAAGTTTAAGCAGTGAATAACAATAACACCTACAGTTCTTTTAAACGTGTTTTTAAACTAGATCATTTGGTTTTATCAACTGAGTTGAAAATGTTAATTGGCCACCGGAAAGAGTTTACAAGATCAGGGCTCGACACCAACTTTTCAACTTACTAGCCCAGTGGCTACTGACAACTCAGATGTTACCACAATTTTAGTTTGTTTACTAGCCAAATTGGCGAGTGGAAATCGAAAACCGCTAGCCAAAACTGAATTTTTACTAGTCTGTAGCTAGTTGGCTACCATTATTGTCGAGTCCTGAAGATGACGTTTCGAGCGTAAGCCATTTGTTAGAACGAAGGAGTCAGAGTGGAGTGTTTTTAGACTGGTATGTTTACAGACTCATACGCGTCAGACGAATGTCTTGTACCAGTCTGCGATGGCCCCTAGTCTTTGAGCCGCTCTGTATAAGGAGAAGGTAACTGTTAATCCCATACGGGTGTTAATGGTCTACAGAGCGAAGCATTTTGTTTGGTAATTCTTTCACTTACAGTAGAGGGGTGATATTTGTTATATTTTTTCAGGATGAAGACGACGAAGGCGGGCAAGGCTCTTTCAAGGATACCGATATTTATGTACAAAGACTAAGAAGAGCGCACGAAGAATATATGCAAAAATCAGACAACTACGAAAAGATACATAGTGAATGTGTGGAACTAGAACAGGTTAGGATTTATAGCTTTCTTTGAAGGAGAATGCATCCTTATTGTTTTTTTGTTTTTTCTTTTTTATTCGAATTCAGTCCCGTAAAATGATGTTCCATACGTATCCATCTTGATGCCATGCAATTTTCATTTTGAAGTGTCAGCCATCTCCTTACCCCAGTCCCCCAAGGAGTGCATAGGCCGTGAGGGAGTCGGCTGACGACTCAAACTGCGCAAGAACACAGGGCGATCTCGCTCCCTTTTCTTCATTGTAGTCAAACTTTTTGCTTTTCTAACAATGCAACAGCAGTTGAACTTTTGGAACTCAAAGGTAGTACTGTATATTTGAACTGAAACAGTACAACTAGAGGCGCTTTGAACTCTGCGAGTAATAGAAGCACCGCGCACAAGTTATTACGACAGGTAACGCAACGCGAGTGGAATCGCCAAAGGGAACTTTGGACATGTGTAAACGATTATGTGGATTGTACAAACTTTCCGCAAGCCAAAATCTTTGTTGATAATGCATGTAGGGTCTGAAAGAAACATCCATGTATGGGGTAGTGGTATTCGGAGTGCGACAGTTGTTTGTGTTTATTTTAAGATGTTCCTTGGTTCATCTTATTTACAGAAAATTACAGACTATCATGAAGAACTTGATGCTCACCGTGAAATCATGAAAATGATCGAGGATCAAATAGTACTGCACGAGTCTTACCATAAAGAAGCTCCACCACAAAATAGGGCAATGTGAGTGTACAATGAATGTAGTTTCAGTAACAAAATAGGGCAATGTGAGTGTACAATGAATGTAGTTTCAGTAACAAAATAGGGCAATGTGAGTGTACAATGAATGTAGTTTCAGTAACAAAATAGGGCAATGTGAGTGTACAATGAATGTAGTTTCAGTAACAAAATAGGGCAATGTGAGTGTACAATGAATGTAGTTTCAGTAACAAAATAGGGCAATGTGAGTGTACAATGAATGTAGTGTCAGTAACGGAGGTAAACACGATTATGACGTGCTCTTAGGTCGCCAGATGGCGAAGGAGATGGGGGTGGGGGTGGGGGTAATTGAACTTCATTTGAAGCATGAGTGAATAGAGCTTTTCGCGCTGATTGGCTTGTTCTGAAGTGTATAGCAAGTAGTTTTCGCCTCCGAGCAACCGATAAGACAGAATCACGCGTCAAGAGTTTAATTTCTGACCATTTGCGGTATATTGAAAGAAATAAACTAATTTCTGGGTATCTGTGTGGTGTATACTAGAACACGTATTCACCTCAGTGAAAGTGACGGATGGATATCTACCTTGCGGCTTAGCGGTTCGGTAAATATCCATCACCACTCACCTCCACTTCGGTGAATTGTTAACTTGAAGGTATCCCTTTCACTGAAGCTACCATCCACTTGTCTCTTAGAGTTTTGGTCGCTTGTGATTCATAATTCTTTTTCCTTTCAGACTTCGCCAGAACTTTGATCTATTAAAGCATAAGAAACTTGAAGCAGGGGGAACTGTGAGCACAATCGAAAAGGAATTGGCCAACATTATGGAAAAAACACGCGTTCTGAACAAGTGTATGAACAGCATCAAGCCAGACATAATTAAGTTACAGAAAAGCAAGCAACAGTACTATTTGTAAGTTGAACTTCACCCCTTTCCTTTATGTGTGTGATTTCGTTGGACTACTTACTGGTCAGCGGAATTGTAAACTAGAAGTTGTTTCATTTGCAGTGTCCTCACAACCGAATGGGGAATGGATGTGGAAAGACTGAAACAAGAGATTGGCGAAGAGTGAGTAAAGTTTGGGTTGAATCAGATTTGTTTTGGTTTTATTCTCAAATTCGACTCTTCAGCTCTCAGGTCATGAAGAGATTTATTTTGCGTGATACATGTATATAAATCACACTTTGCTATTTGGTGGCACTTCATAGTCATTTGTTAACACAATAGTAGTGAGAGAAAACACCAGAAGAAAAGACCTAAACATAGACGAAACAAGGACTACTCAGTTCTTCATGTTACTTACCTCCATGTTATTTCTATTTTCTCCTTACAGAGGAAGGGAGAGAGGGTAAGTTCATGTTGGCATATACAAGTTGCAAAAACTCAAATTTGTTTGATCAAAATGGTAGTTTATTAGTCATTTGTTTTTTTCCTCACCTCTCCTTCCCTCCTTTCCCCCTCCCCTTTCCAGCCCACCTCCTGGTAATTCCTTCATTCTTTTCATTTATCAGCTTTAAGCTGTCTGTCTACCTTCCATTCTTTGTAGCTTCCTCACTTACTGATTGCTCTTTTCTTCGTCTTGGCCTCCCTCTCTGTTCCCTTTCACCTATCATACCCAGTAATTATTCCTCTTCTCTCATTTTCTTTTCCCTTTCAGTCACTTACACTCATTCAGGTCTCTCTCGCCCTAATTATTTTTTGTCCTCCTCCCTCCCCTTCGCCTTTCCTACCCCCTAAAAAAACAATGTATTTATTTAATGCTGTTTTCTATTGTTATCTGTTGGTCGTTTTCTGTTTGTTCTTGCTTAAACGTGCATGCGGACCGTGCGTATTTAGCCTGACACAATTTCTCATCTCTTAACAGTGTATTGGAAAATGGCAACCCTGAAGAAGACATCTACGATATGTAAGTTCTGACTGATGTTTTACCACACTAAACCAGGTTCAAGTGCTATAGCAACGGATAGTCTTTGTCTACAGCAACAGTGGGATTAGGGTTGATCCTGGTTTTCATGTGTCGGAAAAATACCAGACGATCGGCGATTTCACTGTTTCCCGAACGTTTCAGTTTCTTTCACATGTGATTTTTATTTGTGACTCGGGCTACCTTTGGTTAGCAACAAGAGGACTTGTAGGGAGCTAAAAGTATCGCCGACGTCACCCAACGGTGAAAATTGAAGTTTTCATACATCGTGGATAATCACCGATCATCGCAGAAATCTGAGACGCGTCAGGAAAATAGAAACGTTCCCGATTTCTCGCTGGCTATCCTATGCAGTCGGGGATCTCAACGATTTCGAGTTTTCCGGCGTTTGTCGGAAAATTTGGGATGGCGGGGAAACAGTGAGATCGCCGATCGTCGGGGATTTTCTTGATATATGAAAACTAGACTTAATTACTGAATTAGGTTTCAAACTGATGAAAAACTAGTTTATCAGTCAGACTTCTAAGTAAAATCATAACTCGTTGTTAGATGGATAGACTGTTTTCTTAGGAGATATATGAAAATAATACTCTTAGGTTAAGTCACCTGAGAGCATATCTTAAGGTAAGAATATTTTCTATATCGAACAAACTTGGCTCGTGACCAGATAGCCTATTTGATCACTTATGTCAGGGGCATTGAGTTAGCATAGGAAGTCATTTTGTGAAAGGATAGTCTGCTTGAGTATCAAGAAAGTGGGAACGAATTAGAAGATAAAGTGTTAACTTTCTCTCTAGCCTTGGACTGAGAGAAACAAGAAATGATTTCAAATCGTTATTGTTTTGTTTTTTAGGCCTGAAGTAGACATTTCTGAAGTACAATGGTTACACGGGACTCTAACCAGGTGGGGAGTGTTAACGGAGTTGAAAACTGCTTGTGGGGCTTTTTTTGTCAGTACGGTGCTGTAGTGGATAGTTTTTTTTTTTTTTTTTTTTTTTTCAGGTGAAATCTGGAACCATTTTTGATAATATCCTTGTAACAGATTCTGTGGAATATGCAGAACAATTTGCAAAGGAAACGTTTGAGAAAACCAAGGAAGGTGAAAAGAAAATGAAGGATGAGCAGGATGAAAAGGAACGCAAAGAGAGAGAGGAAGAAGAAAAGAAGAGGAAAGAAGAGGAGGACAAGAAGAAGGCAGAGGAAGAAGATGAGGAAGAAGAGGAAGAGGAAGAGGTGGGTCGTTTGGACAAGATAAGAAGGGAAAAAATTCTTTGGACAAAATTGTGATTTTTATTACAAAACTTTAATTTCATTTCAATATGCAGCACCAATGACTAGACTCAAATAGCTCAAATGTATCTTTGGGTAAAAAATACTGTAGTTAGAATTATAACTTGCACCAGTAAATGGCCATGGTATGTTGATGAAAATTGGTAACTTAAACTATTTGCTTTCTTCATTGTTGCAGGAAGAAGAAGGCAAAGAATCTGAGGAGGAAGCAAAAGAAGAAGATGCAGCTGAGGAGGGTAAAGAAGGAGCAGAAAGTGAAGAAAGTGCAACAGAGGATGAAGAGGAGGAAACAAAAACCAAGGACGAACTTTAATTGAATCTGATGCATCTAGGCATTTTTATTGACTTAAAAGAACTCTATGAAGCACACTTAACTAAATGGTGTGTGACTTGGTTTTAGGTGGTGTATCAAATTGCTTCGTGTGTTGAAGTTAGCAGAAAAAATAGGCCTCTTCCATTGTCTATACTTTTATAATTTCTTTTTAAAGGAAAACATGGAAATACTGAAATGCAACTTGGTAATCTTCTTTTGCTCTTTGTATGCATCCATCAATTATTATCTTTTTCAAGCATGGAAAGGCCCATCCCCTGTGGTTACTCTTGCTTTAGTTACCAAACTAATTTAATTTCATGTTTAATAATAAAAAAAAAGATAAGAAACAACTTTGTAACATATTTTATGGTTTGCTTTCCTCCCCTGTTATGTTGTGGCATTTGTGCTTCCTTGCATGGAAAGCCCAGATGAAAAGGGGAACTGAGAATTTGTGCAATGACTGGAGAAGTAAGAGCATTAAGAGTGTATGATGAATGGAATAAACTATTTAGATGATTATCTCTCAAAATAGTAACATGAAGAACCCAAAAATGAATGATGAATCTGTGAAGATTCATAGTCGAGACAAATCATTACCAAATTAAATTGTATGTTGAAGTTAAGGTTTAGATACTCCCTGCAGAGTAGAGAACAATATGAATGACTGCATGCAGATATGCAGAGCTAAATCAAGCATGCAACCTTATTGTTGTCCTTTATTCTTATCACCATTTATGGTAAGTTCAATTAAAGAGATTTCGCGTATAATCGTTTTCATGCGAATGTAAATTAGTGCACCTAAATTAAGGTCACTTCCCACCAGTAGATGCTGACTAAATTGGAGTCACATTTTAACTTTACGAAAAAACAAAAATCCCTTATTGCGTGCGAGTTATTTAGAAGAACGTATTTTCAAATTTCAATAAATCTGGAAGGTGTGACAATCTCGTACCTGGGTGAGTCCCCTGGGGGTATTCTCGTGGCAAGTACTCTTTTTCATGTTTTCTGCATACTTGATGAAAGCGACTGATACTTTGCTCCACGCTGGCGTTCAGATGTCGTACAAAGAAGTCTCCGTCAAAACAAAATTTTTCGTTTATTAAGTTAAAAACGAGGTTACCAGCCTTGATACAAAAACATTCACAAGCGCCTCGAATCCAGTTTTTCCATTTTTGCTGCGGGTTTTTCCGTTGCCTTTGACAACTTTGCCCATTTTTGTGTCGTTCTCCTCAACGCGCCACCGAGCGATTGGGATAAAAAAAGAAAAAAACGCGTCTGCAATGCGTTACTTTCCCGGGAAATCTTGATTCGTCGTCATTGCGCTTCACGCCTTATCGGGTCCTGACGCTTTTTATTGGGAAAACTCGCTGAAATTATATTATTATCGAAAACTTCATAGTTTGCTAGGATTTTAGTGATGCTGACGCCCGTACGTATTTCTTCCGAAGGACATCCACGTAGGTGGGAGGTAATAGCGCTAAACTGGTAGATTCTATGCAGTAGCTAATGTTTTATCGGTGGAACATCAAACCAACAAAATTCCAGATCACATTGTAGACCATCAACGAATCCTTTTTCCTTGACACGTGTTTCGGTTTCAGGCGAAGGTTCATACAGGTCACTGGTCTTTTATGGGCTCAGCGCTGACTCCCAAACAACTGGCTTCCCCATAATCTTTCAATAGCTGAGAAAAATAGGTGTTTTTAGAGAACCTATAAATTTATAATTATTTATTATTCTTGAGGATTCTAACTTTTGAAGAGCTCAACTTCTTCTCGGTTGTTTCTCATTTCGGTCTGCCACTTCC